ATCTAGGGAGAGAAAGAGTTCCCCAAAGGTAGAAAGGGGAGCATAAAACAGCAAAACAGCACCAGCAAAAAAAACCAAAACAACAAAAACTAGACTGGACACTGTAGTCTATAATTGCAGAAATGGGAGTGGAGGGAGAGAAGAAAAAAAAATCTGTAGCCTAATATGTTGCTATTATTAAGTGCCGATGAATCGATTCCGACCCATAGTGACCCTGTATATTGAGGGTTTCCAAGGAGCAGCTGGTGAGCTTGAACCACCGACCTTGCAGTTCAAACAACTTTGCAGTCTGACGCATTAGCCCACAGCGCCACACCTAATATGAGTATGACTTTAATGTCCTCTTCCAGCTTCTTGTCTTCAAAGCTACCTGAGAGATTTCAAGATGCCACTGCTGGTTTTTATGCTGTACCTCAGGATTTAATTTAATTTTCGGTCTGTTTCGTTTTTAAACTCTCTTTCCCTCTCCACACCCCTTGTTCTGGCTTTTCCTATTAAAAAAAATAACAGTTCAGTGCCGGCTCTTGAGCTGAGAGTTATCTGTGTGCATGTGTGGCAGAAGAACCCACCAGTGGCAAGAGTGGGGGGGTTGTCCATTCACTCAGGCACCCACTCTAGTCACCAGAATGGAGGTGCGCAAACAGTGGAGGGCCAATGAACTGATACCAAAAAAAAAAAAAAAAAAAATCTGAATAAAGCAAAACCAATGAAGTGTATTGTCCACCTTTGCTCTGAGGTTCCTGCGGCGTTTTTCCATGCTGTGTCTGCTCCCCTGTGTGTTTCGTCTTGCCATTTGGTCTTGCCCAAGTTGTTGGCTCTGGGCTGCAGAGCCTGGCAGATTTAAAAGTATGCAATTTCTTACTTTTGCTACAAGTTCCACTAGTTATAAGCCTTAAAACTTTTTAAAATATTCCTACCTATGTGGTTCTGAGTTTTGGAGCTCTGCCCTGGATCTGCTTTGCCTGGTATTCTGTGGTATTGCTGACGGTGAACCTCACTGCACCTGCGCCTAGCCGCCATATCTTCCAGCTTTTCCCTCGTCTTTCATTGTTTTTGTTTATTCTTTCTTCTCCTTTTTTCCCTTTCTCTTTCGTTGGATTTTATCCTTTCTCTTGTTTTTCCATTTCTTCTGTTTTTCATTTCCTTTCCCACCCACACCTCCCACCCCCACCTTTTTGATCTTTCTTTACTTCTCTCTTTCTCATCTTCCCTCTCCTTGGTTTTTCTAAGTCATTTAAAAATTTCGTCCACTTATTTTTCTTTTCCATAGGTCCATTTTGCTGTCACTCTCTCTTTTTAGTTTTTCTTTTTCCTGGTTGCTGCCTCTCTTTATTTCTTTTTTCTTCCCAGTGTTGGTTCCTTGTTTGTTTATGTGGTTGTTTGTTCTTGTGTATGTGTAGTGTAGAAGGGGGTCTCCTCTTTTCATCTGACAGAAGACAGCAATCACGTTCATACATCCCAGTCACAACCAGAACCTCTGCATCTCCAGCCAGTACCAGCTGCTATGCATCTGACCAGCAATAGATCACAGCCAGAACCAGCCAACTGAGATGCATACATACAAACAGAGAAAGGTGTACACTCTTCCATTCTCTAACTACACCAACACAAGACAGTTGATGAGAGCCTAAGGACACATCGACATACATTCATCAGTTAAATACAAGAACACCATAACATCCTAGAGACAGCAGACAATTTTACTTCTTATGAAGAAACAAGGGAGACTGGTTCAAACAAATGATCAAGATGCAGAGCCAGAAAATGTTTTGAGAGAGAAAAGGTAATGCAACAAACCAAAAAAAAATAATTCAAAAGTATGACATCTCGGTACCTTCAAAGGACTGAAGGAAAGATCGAGGAAGGCAAGGAGAACACAGAAAAACTTCAGAAGAATTCAAGAAAACACTATAAGAAGAAACATAAAACAGAAATACAAATTGTGAAACAGTACAAAGCCTGCAAACAGAGATCCAGGAGATTAATACAAATTATGAAACAGTACAAAGCCTGCAGGCAGAAATCCAGATTAATACCAAGATCTCAAAAACGGACAGTACATTGAAAGGGCAAAGAAGTAGATGTGAAGCAATAGAATCCCAAATTAGTGAGCAAGAAGAGAAATCTCTCAATACAAGAATGTTAGAAGAACCACCAGAGATAGGAATGAAAACCATCCAAAGACCCTGAGAGTGACGTGGGACACCACAAAGAGGAGTTAACTTACAGATGATCCGAGTTCCAGAGCAGGGAGAGACAATCAAAAACACTGAGAAATTATTGTAAAGTTGTTTGAAGAACATCTCCCTGACATCATGAAAGATGAGAAGATAAGCGTACAAGAAGCTGAATAAACCCCAAATCAGATCCCAAAAGAAAATCACCAACACATATCATAAACAAACTTTCCAAAACCAAAGACAAGTAAAAAGAATCCTGAGAGCAGCTCGAGAAAATTGAAAATTTACCTACAAAGGAGAACCAGTAAGACTAAGGTCTGATTTCTCAGCAGTAACCATGCAGGCAAGAAGGCAATGGGATGACATACACAAAACTCTGAAAGAAAAAAACTGCCAATCAGTAATCATATACCCATCAAAGCTGCCCCTCAAATATGATGGTAAAATTAGGGCATTTCTAGATAAATAGAAAACTAAAGAAAATTTGTAATAACCAGACCAACTTTATAAGGAAATACTAAAGGGTGTTCTTTGGACTGAGAACCAACAACAGCGGCCAACAATCCAAGGTAAGCCAACATGACAACACCATCCAGAACTCAAGCCGGATCTGACAGCATTTAAAGGCTCAAATTAGGGAACCAGACATACCAATGTATAATGAAGTCAGCTACAAAGTAAAAAGAGCCAATAGTGAAGGTACAGAACCTCCAAAAGGCAAGGATGTCAACTAGATTTCAAGATCAAACAACTGTTGTACATTGGGGGAAAAATTAGAAAATTACAGGGCAACCTCCAAGAAAAGAATACAACTTCACATCAAAATAAAAAAGAGGGAAATCAGAAAGATTTATTACACATCAACACAGCAAAAAGAAAAATGAAAAGAAAACTCATAAAATTATATGGAACAAAAACCCAGCAGCACTACATACAGAAAAAAATGACAGCAATTGATTAATACCTATTGATAATTATACTGAAAGCAAATGAATTCAATACACTGGTCAAGAGACATAAAGAGCAGAAGGGATAAAAAAAAAAATCAGGATCCTAAAATATGCTGTCTGTAAGAGACACATCAAAAAGATGGAGGCAGCGTAAATGCCCATTAAACATAAGAATGGTTCAACACGCCCAAACTTGCAGATAGTTTCCATTTGACCTAGCCTCGATGGCTTGATGATCAGAATTCAACTAGAGGAAGATTAAAAAAAAAAATTTTTTTTTGATACAGGAAATAAGTGTAAATTGGCACAATTTGATGAACTTCAT